AAGCCATAGCATGTTCCCCAGACCTGTGGCCTCAGTTACAGCCATGTGCTGTCTCATAGTGCTGGAGGCAGCAAGTCTGGGACCAGGGTGTCTGCAGGGGTGGGGTCTCCTGAGGCCTCTCTCCTCGGCTTGCAGACAGCCGCCTTCTCCCTGTGTTCTCGCACGGTCTTCCCTCTGCGTGGGCCTGTGTCCCGATGTCCTCTTCCCGTAAGGACACCAGTCCTTTGGGATCGGGCCCCAGGCTAGCGATCTCACTTTACCTAAATTACGTCTTTCAAGGCCCTATGTCTAAATACAGTCAAATTCTGAGCTATGGGGCACCGGGACTTCAACATTTGAATTTTGAGGGGACAGAGCCAAGCCCATGACGGCGTGTGAGGCTGTTATTTCCCGGCCGAGGGCACCTGCCGAGCCTGCTGAAATCTAGCACATGTTCAGGATGACCTCTCCTAGCCACCACTTCCCAGACCCTTCCGATGATTCTGTAGCCCCCAATTCGCTGTGTCAGGTCCTTCCCCTCCTGGAATGCTGGCCGCCACTTCCTCCTTCCTGCTCCAACCCTGACTGGTACAGGTGGGACAGGATGGACAGCGTTGTTCGGCCCCCACCCCATGCCACCCTTCCGGGTGAGGCTTACCGTGCGGCGGGCGGACCCTTCCCTGGGTGCCCAGGCCTGCAGCCTGGGGAGGCGAGGCCCCCCAGGGGGAGCTGAGGAGGCTGGCTTGTCATTCCCTCACTCAGGTTTGCCTTGGGACCCTGGATGCTCTCTGGCAAGTCATCCTTTCTTAGTGTTTTAGCCATCGCTGTGTGGAGAAGTGGGGAGGCAGGGGAGTGATGGGGGGGTGCCCTCCGTGAAGCTGGCCCAGGGAGATTGCCCGCGCTGCCGGTGCCCATCTGGGTTGCTGGAGAGTCAGGAGGGGAGACAGGCTTCTGCTCCTGCTGAGAAGCCAAAGGGAATGTTGTCAACAGGGTTCAAAACCCCCTTTCTAAATAAGCTAGATAAGATCTGCAGGAGGTGGGGCGCCTGGGTGGCTCAGTTGGTTAAGCGACTGCCTTCGGCTCAGGTCATGATCCTGGAGTCCCGGGATCGAGTCCCGCGTCGGGCTCCCTGCTCAGCGGGGAGTCTGCTTCTCCCTCTGACCCTCTTCCCTCTCGTGCTCTCTATCTCTCATTCTCTCTCTCTCAAATAAATAAATAAAATCTTTAAAAAAAATTAAAATAAATAAATAAAAAAAAAAGATCTGCAGGAGGTTCTGAAAGCCACTGTGGCAACCGACGTCACCAGTCTCAGAGGAATACCCTTGGCTAGGGCCACCGGGCAGCTAGCGTAGCGTCAGGCTGTGTCCCTGAATGGAGAAGCTGCGCCAGCCCTGAAAGGTCACTTCTGCTCCTCTCATAGTCTGCTCATCACCTTCCATTCGGTCTCCAGACCTCTAGATGTCAGAGTCTCAGGATATGGTACTTTGCACCTTTCTCTTATGTCCTCTCTCTCTTCCTTGAGGAATGTATACAGGCATGGCACTTTTACTATAATCCAAATACCCAAATCCAGAATCCCAAATTTATGTCTCCAACACTGGCCTTTTCCTGAAGTCCAGGTCCCTATAGCCAACCCCTTACTCATTCCCCACTGGAATGTCTAATAGACATTTAAATGTATCATGATTGAGACACAGCTACTGGTCTTGCCCCTCTGCCCCAATCATGCTCCCCTCAAAGCATCTTCAGCTCAGTAAATGGCAGCCCCTCCAGCCAGCTGCCGGCCAGAGGGTGGTTCTTCATTCCTCCGTTTCCTCACACTCCACATCCAAGCTGTTGGTGTATCTTGTTGGCTTTACCTCCAAGGTCTGTCCCAAAACATGTCCCAAAGTAAATCCCAAACCCATCTTTCCTCCCTTCCTCCCTCTCTTTTCTCCCTCTCTCTCTTTCTTTCTCTGTGTGCCAGAATAGGAACGAGGTAAAAGAAAACAAATTTCTCCCCCTTATATAGTATCTTCTTTTGAAATATTTTTATTTCACTTCTTCTAACAGCAATATAGAAACAAAGAATCATAAAAAATAAGATTATAAATTGTCCATCGATTATGTAATAGCACTTGATATTGCTACAGGGAGGAGGCCCCGGGGATGGCCCAGGCCCTCTCAAGCCTCCCCAGGCTCCCCGGGCCTCTGTGATCTCTGCTGAGTCCAGGAAGGCACCACACCCTGCCGTGCATGGCGGTGTCTATGGAGACCTCGTGGTTTACACCCGCGGTCGGGGGTGACACAGAGATGGGCAGACGATGATTTAAACTACAAACAGTATTGTGTACACGTGGTGAGCCAGAAGGTGGCCCCAGGATGCTGGCAACGCAGGTTAGGTTGCCGGGGACCCATAGACATCGCTTGAGCCCCCATAAGGCAGGGACTTTACAACAGGGAGCTGACCTGCGGAGTTATTTGTGTTCCCTGTGGGAATAAGGGAGCTAACAGACACTGGATGATGAGTAAGGAGACGCATCCAGCCTACCCCCCTCCACTCTCATCTCCGGTCCCTTCCCCTTTCTCCTCCATCCTCATCCCCAAATTAAATTCTCTTGGGGGTGAACTAAGCAAAAGAGCTGAGATGTCTAACCTATTCCAAAAAGTGTGCCTCGATCTCGGTTTGCTCTCAGAGAACAAAGAAAGGAAGGGGACATTAGGTGAGCTGGACAACTACATTGCCAAAGTTGACATCAATTCAATGGGATCGACAAAATCAACTAAAGCCACTTCACTTGAATCCAATTTTTTCAATTCCTGTAATGACTGATTTCTAGAAAGGAAAAAAAAAAAACGAGTTTGGCATCATTTTCAGAAGATGGAATGGGCTTTCCTGTGTGGGTGTATGTGTACCTGTGTGCCTCTCCAGAGCGGGTGGCGTGTGTAGGCCACCCTGACTCCTGCCATCTCAAGGATGTATCTCAGAGAAGACTGGCGAGAATACCTCGGTAGGACTTGGCAGTGCTCGTGCAGAATCCCTGAGGAGAGACAGCTCGGGGTCGAGAAAATCCCCCTCCCTTCCTGCCTCAGGGGGAGCAGGTCTAAAAGGTCTGGCGTCCCACCCAGGTATCTTCTGTGGACCAGTCCTCTGGGCCTCGGACTTCAGTCACTGCCCAGAGTCAGGCAGAAAACACCTCTTATCTACGTTGTTATACCTTTTGTGAAGGAAGCATAAAACCTCTGGCTCTTTGAAATCACAAGAAAGAGATCAAGTTCTTTTCTAACTAGGGACCATTCATTCACGTCCTCGCACTGCCAGCCCACAAAAGAAAAACAACCTTCCCAGTGTGCGTCAGTGTGTGTGTGTGTGTGTGTGTGTGTGTGTGTGTGAAGTGTGCGCGGGCCCCAATGAAACTATACGAGAGGATGGAACATGAAAGAACATCAGGACACCTTATACTCCAACCACGGAAGTGGGATTGGTAATGCGTGTTCTGTGGGTCCACTTTCCAGGCATTGCTCTGAGTTGGACCCAAATATTCTGAATTGCAAAGTGAGAGGTACGTGTTGGGGCTGCGTGAGGTGGAGAGTAGAGGGCTTGGCAGTTTGTGGGTTTGGCAAAACATTAGGACCGTCTTTGGGGTAAAAGTTCATTGATCTGTGATCTGTCTAGGCATTCTTAATAATGATTTAACCTGTTGATAGTAGCCACTAAGGAGCCGTGTAATCTGAGGGAAGTCATCCTCGTTCCCTGGTTTCACTTTACTCCTTTCTGAACAAGAAGGCTTGAACTAGATGACGTCAAAAGGCACCCCCAGCTGGGCGGAGAACTTGCGCTACGTGGCATTCCACGAGGATAACTTTCCTCACTGTTGAGGTCTCCGTCTCCACCTTGCTGAGCCTCATGCTTGTTGGTAGGGAGAACCTTTTCAAATCAAATCCTAAACTACTGAACTTGACCTACCCAACTGGCATCACCATGTGGACAAAAATCAAACAGTTGTGAACAAGTTAGCAACAGATTAGTAACAGTCTGATTCAATTAAAATTAGTGATTTAAATCAGGCACAGAATGTCAGAGGAGGCTCAGGGTGAGCTCCCAAGCTCCCTCGAGTCTTTCTGGGGGTGGGGGGAGCGGGGCAAGAAGGGGACAAAGGTGATACCACCAGGAGAATTCGGTGATGGGAAATCCTCGGACAGATTTGCCTAGTTCACTCGGGCACTCCCCTGGAGGTGCAGGGTGGCACAGGGTGGCCACAAAGGGGCTCTTTGGAGATTTGGATTGGGGTGTGCGGCCAGGGCAGGCAACAGAGAGGGTATCTGTGTTTGCCCCGCCCACGCTGCCCGGGTGTGTCCTGGCTTGCGCTGAAAACAATCGACGTAGCACCAGTAGTGCCAAGGTCTAAGAGTGGCCACAGCCTGGACCGGCCGCCCAGCAGAGGGTGCTCCCAGCAGCTGTAGGGGCTGTGGTCCCAAGATCCACTTTGTCGTTCCTCCTGGTTTTCCTTTCCTGGTGGGTCCCAGTCAGGGCTGCTGAGTCACCTGTCTATGGTGAATTTGAGCCCGTACTTAGAGGACAGCAACAGCAGATGGGTTCACCTGACATACCTAATCACCTGCTCCCTGGATGCTCAGTGCCCTTGGGGGAGCTTTCTGCAAGAATCACAGCGTTTGGGGGCCCCCCTCTGGGATCCCAGATCATAGCACCAGTGATTCCGGGAAACAGGAATGGGGGGTCGGTGAGGGGAGGATGGAGACGTGTCATGCTGGGAGCCAGGTCTCATTGAAGATCTGGATGGAGCGGCCCTTCTGCAGAACACTTTGGGTCACGGACAGTCAGAGGGTTGTGGGCCTCCACAGTTGGGGCCCCCTGAGAGAGCACCTGCCGTGGGTCTGAGGGCCCACGGTTCACCAGCCACAGGGAAGCCCTGCCTCTGGGGAGACCCACTCAGGGTAACGCAGCCTCAACACCCTTCCCACGCCCCCTCCCTGCCTCCCAGACACTCTGCTCTGGCCCCTCTGCCCCCTTCTAGGGCTTCTTAGCACAGAGAGAACCTCCGGGAGTTGATGTTCATCTTGGTGACTCCAATGAGCTTGAGTGGGGTGGAGAGGCTGAAGGAGGAGGCGAGTGGGGAGTCACAGAAGAGATCAGACAGCTCATCCCGTTCCTCCAGCTCGTAGGTGGCATCGTTGAGCATCCTCCTATGCAGGTCACAGGTCTGCTCGATCTTCAGCTTGTTAATGTCACTGCGCAGGCGCATGAGCTGTCTGGCCAGCTGCTGGTCTTGCAGCCGCATCTCCATCTGGAAGGGAGGAGGGGAGGCATCAGCAAAGAGCTGGGCTGGGGGTTGCAGTTCCATAGTCTCTGACAAACACAGACCCGCTGATAAGAGATCTAATTAATGGCTTGCATCATCAGTTGGTCCACCTGGAGATATTGGCACATTCCCTGCTCAGGAAGGTGAAAAGACACACACAGCAAGATGACGAATGGGGACAGATGGGTTTCCCAAACAATACTTTGTGCTAGGCTAGATACTATGTCTAAATCCTTCTGGAAGAGGCACATGTCAGTCCTGGCCTAAAGGTTCAGTCTCATTGTTTACAGATACATATGGGTGGAGTAAGAGTATAAAGGAATGCACGGGAGTGGTAAGTGCCAAATTCAGGAGCATGATTACCGCTGCGTGGGAAGGAAAGAAGGTGGTTGGGGAAGGTTTACGGGGGCTTCAGCTGTATGGGTAATGTTTTATACCTTATGTTGGGTGGTGGGTATACTGTTAATCATTCTTTAAGCCTTTAAACATTTTAGAATGCCTGCAATATATTTTTTAAAGATTTTATTTATTTGAGAGAGAGAGAGCAAGCAGGAGTAGGGGCAGAGGGAGAGAGAGAGAGAATCCTCAAGCCGACTCCCTGCTAGGCCCTACTTGGAGCTCATGACCATGAGAGCATGATTTGAGCCGAAGCCAAGAGTTGGACACTGAACACACTGAGCCACCCAGGCGCCCCTGCCTGTAATATTTCTTAATAAAGTTTCCAAAAAGCCAAATAAATATGTAAATATATGCTAATATTTACTGAATGTTCTACTATGAACCAGGCACTGTTCTAAGCTCTTCAGGTATGTATTAGTCTTCTCAAGCTGCCATATAAAACACCACAGACTGGGAAGCTTAACCAATAGACATTTATTTTTCATAGTTCTTGTGGTCAAGAAGTTCAAGATCAAGGGGTGGGCTGATTCTATGCCTACTGAGGACCTTCTCCTGGCTTGCAAATGGCCACCTTCTTGCTGTATCCCCACATGATGGAGAGAGAAAGCTCAGCTTTCTTTTCTTTTCATAGGAACATTAATCTCATGATGGGGGCCCCACTCTTATGACCTCAAAATCTAATTACTTCCTAAAGGCCCACCTCCAAATACCATCACACTGGGGGTAAGGGCTTCAACATATGAATTTGGAGGGCGGGGCACAAAGATTTGATCTCTAACGGGTATATCAACATGCTACAGTTACTCTTCACTGCAGCTCTGTTAAGTAATATCACCATCATCATCCACAAGTTAGAGATGAAGAGGCAGAAGCTCACGAAATCAGTCACTGTGTCAAATCACAAAGCGTATAAATGGCAGAGCTGAGATGAGAAACCCAGACAATCAGACTCCGGAGCCCAAGCCACTGACAAGGAAGTCCTGCCTCTTCAGGTACTGTTGAGTAGGAGGGATATGGAGCTAGTCCCTGCTCAGTGAATTAACATAACAAAAGGTTCATGATCTTTTTGGTGCCTCAGGGTTTTTTTTTTTCTATTGAGGAAGGGAAGTGATAATAACCCCACACCTGGTAACATCTTTACAGTTTCCAAAATTCATCTGTGTGCTAATTTTGTTACTACTGTACAGCCAGCCCCGAAGGATTAGCAGGGCAGCTTGGCTGAGTAGTTTACAAGTCTGGAAGAGTGTCAGTGAGTTCTCAGTTTCACAGTTGTGCAACGACAGAGATGGGGATTGGAGCTCACAGGATCTCAGGTTCCCAGCACAGAGCCCTTTCCATTAACAACATTTTGTCACTAAGACAGGTCCTCAGCTCCTCCTACTTGACACGATATTTAATTCCTTCTCACTCTTTACTCTTTCTGTCATTGCAAAGGGTTATTGTTTTCGCAGTTTTGTGTCTTCAAGCTCAGCCATGTCCTTCACCTGGTGCTTGGAACCAAACTGACGTGGAGAAATTAACAATGAGATCCCAGAGGGACCCTTTCTATTGTTATGCAACTGAACACAGCCGGTGGTCTTGGTGTCACTTTTCCCCTGTTAAGATTTGGGATTCAGTGCATTGCCTGGTAGAAAAATAAGCGACTTCACCGGTAAGCGTTTTATTGTTCTTTTTTTTTCTCTTTCATTTTTTAAATGTATTTCTACAAGTCCCTTTTCTTTCCAATTTTGTAGATGAGAAAAATCATGATAAAATATCTTGCATAGGGATCAGCAAAGTATTTAATGGCAAAATTGGGATTAAAGTTCATAGCCCCCAGTTTCTTAGTTTCTTCTCAATCCTTGGGCATAAAAACCCAAATTTATTGCCAATCAGAAATTCTATTGGGGCGCCTGGGTGGCATATAGTCTGTTAAGCATCTGACTTTGATTTTGGCTCCAGTCATGGTCTTGGGGTCCTGGAATCCACACTCAATGGGGAGTCTGCTTGAGATTCTCTCCCTCTCCCTCTGCCCCCATCCCTGCTCTCTCTCTCTCTCTAAAATAAATAAATCTTTAAGAATATTCTATTGATTTAGAGTAGCACCAAATTAATGATGGCAGGCTCATCACAGGGCAGTTGGTCATTCATTCGTTATGGAGCCCTTAGTCATGCCTGGAAGTGGGCTAGGTGTTGTCTAAGGGTCTTCTGAAGGAGATGGTGGTCAAATTTGTCTGAAAGACAATGCCAACTCACACCCATTGCTTTATCTAATGGGGTCTTCGAGGAGTCTTGATTGAACCATTTCTCTGGGGGTATTTTATAATTTGAAGATAGAGTTCTTTGAAAAGATAGGAACTTCATGGTTTAGGTTTGAATTTTGGTCCCAAGAATTGGGTCTTAGGTCTGAAAAGATCCTTTAAAGTTGGAGAATTCAGGTTCGAGCAGGTGTCTGGGAGTATCTGTGAGATATGGCCTGCAGGGGTACCTGGTGGGGGAAAAGGTCTATTTTTCTATGGCCAACAGATCCAGTCAGAGGTCAGAGAACAATTTAGGGTTGAAATTCCATCAGAGTTAGCTGGAAAGAGGGGTGAGTGTAATGCATGTGTCCAGTTCTCTTTGACTGGACAAAGGCCACCTCGGTAGGGTCACTTCACACACTCATTCAGCTTGGATTCATTCAACTCTGCATGAGGGAAAGAAGAGAAATAAGAACACACTTTCAACAGGGCTGAGGATTCTGGCCATTCTGCTTGTTGGTGCCCCAAAGCACCAGGAGGGAGACTGGGAACCTGCTGTTTTCCCAGCAGACCCTGGTTCTGAGGGCACCTCAGTGTGAATAGCTGCCCTAGGAGTCACTCAGATCATATCTTTTGTTATGATCCCTGAATGTAAATCAGCCACTGCATCTGATGCTCAGAGAAACAGTGTTCCAACACCAGCGGGAAAACCTGCCGTGTTGGCCCTATTCTCACTCACTAAGGGATTTTCCAAGGGTGATTCTGTGCCTTAAACATTAATTTGAGCCCCCCACCTCTTAAAATGTAACTCTGCTGTAATCAGACCAAATCCATACAGAAATGAGCTCCCACAGCTAAAAAAACAAAACAAACAAACAAAAAAAACAAACCTAAGCAAAATGTGCAGGTCCCCCCCACCCAGAATTTTTTTCATTGTGGTAAAATACACAGAACATAAAATTTTTACCATCTTCATTACTGTTAAGTGTGCAGTTCAGTGTCATTAAGCGCATTCTCATTGATATGCAACCACCCCCACCATCCACCTGCAGACCTCTTCATCTTGTCAAACTGAAACTCTGTCCCCATTAAACAACTCCCCCTCCCTCCTCCCCACAAAACCACCACCATTTCACTTTCTGTCTCTATGAATTTGCTCGATGTGCCTTATATAAGTGGAACCATACAGAATCTGTTCTTTTGTGACTGGCTTATTGCACTTAGCATCATGTCCACAAGGTTCATAGAGCTAAGAGGCTTTTTAGATTTTAACCTTTTCAGAAATGTTCAGTGAACATAAGTCTTTGCTGCTCCTGTTTGCCATGAATTGGAAAAATGGCAGCTCCCGAGGAAGGTGGGAGAGCTGGGACGGGGCCCGGGCTGGGGATGGAGGCCCTCCTGCCTTTTTCTTTCTTCTCTGCCAAGGAGGCACTCAGGCAGTGATGACCTCACACCCCAGCTTCCGCCACCTACCGTCAGGTGCATTTGTCACGTATTACTTCACCGCATCTGCTCACAGCTCTAGATGAGAGGTATTTCAATCTGTGTTCCAGGTGAGGAAACCAGCTCAGAGAAGTTTAAGGGACTGTCCAGGATTGGCCAGCCGGGGTGTGGTGCCCTCGGAACATATCAGAGCCCAGAGCTGGGGGCCTCTCCATAGCTTCTGCTGATCTGGAGGTGGGCTGGGTCCCAGAAGCAGTAAAAGTGGGAAACCCATTGCCCTGGGGTTAGACTCTGGGTTCCCGCCTCACTAGCTGTGTGACTTTGGGTGAGTCACTAACACTGCCTGAACTTGTGTCTTCATCTAGAGAGAAGAGATGCTGTCTATTCCAAGGACTATGAGAAGCATAGTAGATAATAAGTGGTAGCCACATGAGCTGATCACTGCCAGTCAAACAGAGGTAAGAGGTTCACCCCTCAAGCTCTTTCTCTCTGGGCCAAGGTGCAGACCATGGAAACCGGCCAGAACCTCCCACTTTCAAGACTTTATTAAAGCAACTGAGACGCTGGCCCTAAAGCCTGGTCCCGGTGACTCAACTATCAGTGTGGGTTAATGCTCTCCCTGGCAGACTCCACTGTAGGACATGCTGATTTCTAACCCCCCTTCCTAGGGTGGCCTGTTGTTCCTGCAGAATAAAGGCGCCTGCTGGATCCTTGGAAGAGTGCCTACAATTGCACTAATCCTGTAATTAGGGCACAGTACTTGGTGAAAGGGGGAGAAATGTCAGTGTGTGGCGGTGACGGGACGTGTTCTACCGGGTGAGGAAGCACACGAAGGAGAAGGTGGCCGATCGGTGGCCTCGTAGCAACAGGGGTGGTTGGCTGGAGCCAACGCTGGTAGGATGGCCAGCCGAGGAAATTCATGGA